GTTTCTGGGGGGTCCAGGGGAGGTTTTTGAGTGGTCCAGGGTAGGTTTTGGGGGTTTTGTGGCAGTTTTTGGGATCCTGAGGAGAATTTTGGGATCCTGAAGAGGTTTTTGGGGTCTTGGGGAGGTTTTTTGGGCACTTGGGGGGGTCCAGAGTGGGTTTTGGGGGTTTTGGGGAGATTTTTTGGGATCCTGAGGAGAATTTTGGGGGTTTTGGGGCGGTTTTTGGGATCCTGAGGAGAATTTTGGGGGTTTTGGGGCGGTTTTTGGGATCCTGAGGAGGTTTTTGGGGTCTCGGGGAGGTTTTGGGGGATCCTAAGGAGAATTTTGGGGAGGTTTTGGGGGTTCTGAGGAGAATTTTGGGGTCTCAAGGAGGTTTTTGGGGTCTTGGGGGGGTCCAGGGGAGGTTTTGGGGGGTCCTGGGGAGGTTTTTGGGATCCTGAAGAGGTTTTTGGGGTCTTGGGGAGGTTTTTGGGGCATTTTGGGGGATCCAGGGGAGATTTTTGGGGGTTTTGGTGAAGTTTTTGGGATCCTGAGGAGAATTTTGGGGTCTTGGGGAGGTTTTTGGGGCATTTTGGGGGATCCAGGGGAGATTTTTGGGGGTTTTGGTGCAGTTTTTGGGATCCTGAGGAGAATTTTGGGGTCTTGGGGAGGTTTTTGGGGCATTTTGGGGGATCCAGGGGAGGTTTTTGGGGGTTCAGGGGAGGTTTTTGGAGTTTTGGGGTGGGTTTAGGGATCCTGAGGAGGTTTTGGGGATTTTGGGGAGGTTTTTTGGGCATTTGGGGGGGTCCAGGGGAGGTTTTTGTGGGGTCCAGGGGATGTTTTGGGGTGTTTTTTGGGATCCTGAGGAGGTTTTTGGGATCTTGGGGAGGTTTTGGGGCAGTTTTTGGGATCCTGAGAAGAATTTTAGGTTCTTGGGGAGGTTTTTGGGGTCCGGGGGAGGTTTTTGGGGTGTTTTTTGGGCATTTTGGGGGGTCCAGGGGAGATTTTTAGGGGGTCCAGGGTGGTGTTTTGGGGGTTTTTAGGGTGATTTTTGGGATCCTGAGGAGGTTTTTGCCGTCTTGGGGAGATTTTTGGGGCATTTTGAGGGGTCCAGGGAAGATTTTGGGGCGGTTTTCGGGATCCTGAGGAGGTTTTTGGGGTCCAGGGGAGGTTTTTGGGTCCAACCCCCAGTTTTGGCCAATCCCCGGTGACTCACCGGCGCCCAGGCCGCGTCTCCGGTGCGATTCGGCGAAGGCGGTGATCCGCGGCCAGCTGATGGCGATTTCCTCGGCTGCCGGGAACAACAAAATCCCGGGAAATTTCCCCAAAATCCCGGGAAAAACCCCGGAAAAAATTACCCCGAAATCCCGGGAAAAAATCCCGGAAAATTTCCCCGAAATCCCGGGAAAAAAACCTGGAAATTTTTCCCAAAATCGGGGAAAAAAATCCCAGAAAAACTCCCGAAATCCGGGAAAAGAATCCCAGAAAAATTCCACGAGATCCGGGAGAAAATCCCGGAAAAATTCCCGAAATCCTGGGAAAAAATCCTGGAAAATTTCCCCGAAATCCCGGGAAAAATCCAGGAAGATTTCCCTAAATCACAGAAAAAATCCTGGAAAAATTCCCCAAAATCCTGGAAAAAATCCCAGAAAGTTTCCCAAAATCTGGGAAAAAAATCCCAGAAAATTTCCCGAAATCCCGGAAAAAGTCCAGGAAAATTTCCCAAAATCCGGGAAAAATCTGGGAAAATTTCCCAAAATCTGGGAAAAATCCTGGAAAGTTTCCCAAAATCTGGGAAAGTCCAGGAAAATTTCCCAAAATCCGGGAAAAATCTGGGAAAATTTCCCAAAATCTGGGAAAAAATCCCGGAAAATTTCCCAAAATCTGGGAAAGTCCAGGAAAATTTCCTGAGATCCGGGAAAAATACCAGAAAATTTCCCGAAATCTGGGAAAAATCCTGGAAAATTTCCCGAAATCCAGGAAAATTTCCCAAAATCCAGGAAAATCCCACCGGAATCGGGGTGGTTTAATTCATTTTTTTTTTTTTTTTAATTTTTTTAATTAAACCGATTTAATTTCGATTTCAGGGTTCAAAATTAAAGGGATTCGATCCCGAATTTGAGGGGAAATCCGAGGGAATTCGGGGTCTTACCCAAGGAAATGACGCTCTCGTAGCTTTCCTGCATCTCCTCCCGGAATTCCGAGCTGATCCCGAAGATTTTGGGAAAAATCCCAAATCCTTGGAATTCCGACAGCTCCGGGATTTTGGGATCCTGGAGGGGGGAATAAAATGTCCTTAAATTTGGAGTTTTTCCGTGTTTGGGGAATTTTTAGGGAATTTTTTGGAGGGAACCGAGGAATTTTGGGAAGAGAGCCCCTCCCCCGCCCTCCCCTCAAAATTCCCACCTTAATTCCCAGATTAATCCCGGTTTTCCAAATTTTGGGAAGGGTTTGAAAAAGGATTTGGGGTTTCCATGGAAAAATAAAATAAAATAAAATAAAAGTAAACTAAATTAAATTAAATTAAATTAAATTAAAATATAAATAAAATAAGATAAAATAAAATAAAATGAAACTAAATTAAATTAAATTAAATTAAATTAAAATATAAATAAAATAAAATAAAATAAAATAAAAGTAAACTAAATTAAATTAAATTAAATTAAATTAAAATATAAATAAA